ACTTATCAGAAAAATGGCAATACTTAGCCTCTGTTTTACTAGAGTATTGCTATTAGTGTTTGTCGCAATAATTAGCTCTCTTAAATTGGCTCTAGGAATCTCACAGAACCAGTCAATTATTTGTATTCTTCCTGTCTCATTCTTGTTTCCATATTTCCTGTGATACAAAGCCTTTACAGCTCTCTTGTCATCTGTTTCCTTGATACTTTCAGTGATAGCTAAATTTTATATATCATGGTTATTTTTTATATTAATAATAACCTTTCCTAGTTCATCTATTTCCCAAAGTCATGCATTTTTAATTTTTTAACAATTTTCATTTCTTGTCTCATTCATATTTCTATTCTTGGCAACTATTGGCTAGTAAGAGGACAAGTGTCTTGTGGTCTGGAGTTGTGGGATGGCCACTGGGTCTAGTCCCATTGGCTGCAGTGGATGAAACTTGGATGGAGCTGGTTGTGAATCTGGCTGGCTATATTTTATTTATTTATTTATTTTTTTTATTTATTTATTTTTTTTGAGACAGAGTCTCACTTTCTTGCCCAGGCTAGAGTGAGTGCCGTGGCGTCAGCCTGGCTCACAGCAACCTCAATCTCCTGGGCTCAGCGATCCTACTGCCTCAGCCTCCCTAGTAGCTGGGACTACAGGCATGCGCCACCATGCCCGGCTAATTTTTTTTGTATATATATTTTTAGTTAGTCAATTAATTTCTTTCTATATTTTGGTAGAGACGGGGTCTTGCTCAGGCTGGTTTTGAACTCCTGACCTCGAGCAATCCGCCCGCCTCGGCCTCCCAGAGTGCTAGGATTACAGGCGTGAGCCACCGCGCCCGGCCTATATTTTAAATATAATTCTCTCTTGACACATCTTTGAATTAGGTATTATTGACCCCATTTTACACATGAGGAAATTGGGATAGTAACTACAGCATTCATTGTCACTCAGCTGATAAGTAACAGAACTAATCATCAAACCCAGGTTTGCAGGTGCCTTATTCAGAGCTTTTTTCTACCACACAATAGCTGCCCCTAGTAAATGCTATTGTAGCTCACAAAGAGGAAGAAGTTACAGTTCTGAAGAACACATTTCACTTTGCCTTTCTTATTTATTTTTAGAGACATTTTAAATCCAAAGGATGTGATCACAACCCGATTTGAAAATAATTCTAGCAAAGATTTCTGCAGCCAATCATGCCTGTCTTCTTATGAGCTAAAGAAAAAACCTGTTGTTACCATATATACCAATAGCATTTCGACAAAGTGCAGCATGTGTCAGAAGAATGCTGATGTAAGTTACATTTTACCTCTTTTGGGGTTCTGCTCAAGGATCAGAGATTTTTTAAACTGACTGCTTATTTTATATATGTATGTGTTTATTTCCTAGATTCGATTTGAAGTTAAATATCAAAATGTGGTACATGGTCTTTGTAGTGATGCCTGTTTTTCAAAATTTCACTCTACCAACAACCTCACCATGAACTGTTGTGAGAACTGTGGGAGCTATTGCTATAGTAGCTCTGGTCCTTGCCAATCCCAGAAGGTTTTTAGTTCAACAAGTGTCACAGCATATAAGCAGGTATGATTATCAGTCTGTTGCATGTAGTTAGGCTGTATAGGGCTGAACTGCAAAGTGGAAGAGTGAACTCCTCCCATCAGTTCATCCTGGTGTGTGGTTTCCCTTCCAAAAAAATGGGATAAATTCTAATACTGTAAGGGATGATTGTGGTTGTGAGATGATACAGGTAAACTAGGTCCCTTTTTAAGGTTCTCTTCAAGGCTGAGAATTCATAAATGTCATTTCTTGATTTGCTATGAGTATGAAGTTTTTTGTGATACATCGATAGCAAAGAAAACTTCATATTGTAAATAAACCATAAGCAAGAGTTAAAAGATGATAAAATTGATGAATCTAAATGAAGCATATCTTTTTCATTTTAAAAAGTGTTTTGGAATGAATTGTAATTATTTGGGCAATATTGGCTTATGAGAATACTTTAGCTTATTTATTGTAATGAATAACAGATTATTCTGGTTACTAAATGTATCACTTTGTGTCAACTTAATTATTGCTGAATGATTTGTAGTTTAAAAAAAGTTATTTTTCTTAAGTATGTAAATGATAATTAAAAATATAAAAAATAAAAAAAATTTTTTTCAGTTGGCAAGTTTGATTTGTTAATTCCTCTGAGCAGTTGGTAACAGGCATTCATCTTTGACAAGTATCTTTTTTTTAAGAATTACCACTTTGAGAGTCTGGTTTCTATGTTCACAGGAAGAGAATCCATGTTGTTTTATGTATGATCCAAAAATCAGTTCTATTCCTAAAATTCCTAAAATTTTAAAAAATTTTGTAATGAGTATTTTTTTTTTTTTTTTTTGAGACAGTCTCGCTTTGTTTCCCAGGCTAGAGTGAGTGCTGTGGCGTCAGCCTAGCTCACAGCAACCTCAAACTCCTGGGCTCAAGCAATCCTCCTGCCTCAGCCTCCCAGGTAGCTGGGACTATAGGCATGCGCCACCATGCCCGGCTAAGTTTTTCTATATACATTAGCTGGCCAATTAATTTCTTTCTGTTTATAGTAGAGACGGGGGTCTAACTCTTGCTCAGGCTGGTTTCGAACTCCTGACCTCGAGCAATCCGCCTGCCTCAGCCTCCCAGAGTGCTAGGATTACAGGCGTGAGCCACCGCACCCGGCTTGTAATGAGTATTTTGTAAATAAAGATACATTTAGGTACAATTTCCCATTTTCCCTCTCTATGGTGACTTTTGAGACACCCTGTATTGGTTATATAAATGGTAGCCATTATTATTATTATTTCTTAAAACATGAATAAGCTTACAGGCAGATTTTATTATGAAACTCAGCTTGAAAAATGGGGAGTTTTGCAGGATCTCCTGATAAACATTAAATATCATTTCTATCTCCTGCTAAAGCGTTTTGTAAGTCTCACACCTTAAAGGTGAGTGACTCTTAGATTGACATCCAAGTCAGTACTGGGGATAGCCCTTTGATTTATAGTCTTCTTTGGTTATTGGTGATGAAGAAAGTATGTTATGACTACCTAATTCATTACTTGTAATGTGTTTTGTTGTTGCTAAGGTATCTATCTGAATAGTTACTAATTTTCTTCAGTTTATGTTCTATTATTTGGAAGAACTTATTTTTCCCATATCCCAATAGTGTGATCTCATTGTTATGTTCAAATATTTCAACCAAAGGTAGTGGTTGTAGGTAGTTTTTCTTTTTTCTTTTTTGAACAATGTGTAAATATGTATGCTTAAGCTAGGTATCTAAATGTTATTTTATTTTAATAGAATTCAGCCCAGACACCTCCATATGCCCTGGGGAAATCATTGAGGCCCTCAGCTGAAATGATTGAGACTACGAATGACTCAGGAAAAACAGAGCTTTTCTGCTCTATTAATTGTTTATCTGCTTACAGAGTTAAGACTGTTACTTCTTCAGGTAATGCTTAAATTTGGTAATTTAATAACTATTGAAGAAGACTGTAACTGCTTTTCTGTCATTTTGTTACAAACTAAATTTAACTATATGGTTAAATAAAGACACAGGATTGATTTACTTTTAAATAAAGAACTGATAAATACATGAAAATAGTTTTTCACTGATTTTCTCAGTTACGGTATATATAGTATTTTGTAGTTTCATATGTGAAAAGAAAGAAAAAACCACAAGTTTCAAATTAATTTTTGTATAAGTGGGACTTAATTGCAGTTATAGTTAGATTTACAGATATTTGTAAAGTTCCTTGATTATTTTGTATATTAATGAGTATTTGATTTTTTTCATTCTTCTAATTCATTTTTGGATTCTTTGTTCATTTGTGTGACTTATTCATTGTTTTTTATTTTTTGTCATGAAGGTGTCCAGGTTCCGTGTCATAGCTGTAAAACCTCAGCAATCCCTCAGTATCACCTAGCCATGTCAAATGGAACCATATACAGTTTCTGCAGCTCCAATTGTGTGATGGCTTTCCAGGTATGATCTGAGGTAGTACTTCATCCTTGCAGTTTTCTTAGGCATTGATTTGTGGTACAATTTTGACCGATGAAGGACCATACTTATAAGCATTTAAATTTAAGTTAAAAAGAAAAAAAATTCTGTTCAGTCAGAGTCTCAGAGGTCATTTCTACAAAATGTCCGAGCCCAGATATTTGGCCTCAGAATTTTCTTCCTTATTCAGGGTCCTCACCTAAAAGACCCTCCCCTCCCACTTTCTCCCATGGTTCTCTCCTTTTCAAAAGGTTAGAATCTGGGATATGGTTTTGGTAGGTGTTATGGTAAGAACAGTAGCCTGATAAGGCTTGTGTGCCCCTTCCTTTCATCCTGGGCCAGATACCTAATGACTCCTGGCATGGAATTATGAGCAACCACTTGTCCCATTTTCCCTTTACTCTCTACAACACACCCAGAAAGAGTAGAGTTTAGTGATCCCCCTGTGGGAAGATGCCTGATGCAGTCTCCCTGGCATCAGAGAGAAAGAGACTGTTGGTAGCTACTGTGTCTTTTTTTTTTTTTTTTTGTTTTTTTGTTTTTTTAAAGCAATTAAAATCTCAGAAGCTACTGTGTCTTAATAGCCATCAGGACCTGGTTGGTGATGGGTGTGCAGGGATGGAGGGGTATTTTGGGGGAAAGGAGAGGCCTGCTGTGATTTCTTAGAGACATATGCTAGAGGTCACTGGAAAACCTGAATTCCAGTCTTTGAACTTTTAGTGTTGTATTTCTCAGTCCTTCTCTTCTGGAAGTGTGCCATTTAAACTGTCTCTACGAGATAGAAGATTTTGAAAAAATGTGAGGAAATTAATTTATTCAAATGAGGAAGTAAAAATTACCAACTTATGTTATTTCTCAGTTGCTAAAATCTTTGCCTTATTTGTGTTCATTCAGAATGTATTTAACAAGCCAAAAGGAACAAACTCCTCAGCGGTGCCCCTGTCTCAGGGCCACATGGTTGCAAGCCCACCCTCCGGGTCAGCAGTACCTGCAGGAGGAGGTAAAACCTCTGCCGTTTCCCCCAGCTCCACCAGTGGCTCTGCTGCAGCTAGTCTCCAGCCTCTTGCTGAACAATCCCAGCAAGTTGCTTTAACCCACACAGTTGTTAAACTCAAGTGTCAGCATTGTAACCATCTGTTTGCCACAAAACCAGAACTTCTTTTCTACAAGGTAAAGAGAAATCATGGAAGGGATTGAATATAAACTTATCTGTTAGAAGCACTTTTGTCTTTTTATCTTTGATAGTCACTCAGTTTGCTTTGAAAAGAGAGGGAAAAGCATTTGTTGGAGATAAAGCAACTGTTTAGTTAGATCTTAATGACTGTTATTTCTCTTCAGGGTAAAATGTTTCTGTTTTGTGGCAAGAATTGTTCTGATGAATACAAAAAGAAAAATAAAGTTGTGGCAATGTGTGACTACTGTAAACTGCAGAAAATTATAAAGGAGACTGTGCGATTCTCAGGGGTTGATAAGCCATTCTGTAGTGAAGGTAAAGGAAAAAGTTTGTTTTTATTCACAGAGCATATGGTTGTTACATAACAATTCATGATGACTTGGGCTATTAATCCATGATTAATTTTCAAGTAATTTTTGTCTTACAAGGTATAATTTGAGGTTTTTTATATTGAGTTTATATTTAATTTTAAAATCTTTTTAAATGTTGTAATAATCTCAATAAAGAAAAAGTATAAAAATAATTAGATCAATGGTATTAATATAGAAAATCTCTTTATTTTTTTTTGTTATTTTTTTTTATTATTTTTTTCTTTGTCAGGACAAGGACAGATAGAAAATCTCTTTATAAGTTTAGCTATGACAGATCTTTTTGATCTTGTACCCACTTGTAAAGAGAGAACTTAGGCAGTGGTGCTTCTTGGCTTAAGAAACTGTTCTATCTTAAAGATTTTGATTTCCTTTATGGAAAAAAGATAAGTAATTAAAAAAAAGAAACTTAATATCTGATACTTCTGAATATAAATAGCCTAATATGTAGAGTATATTTAAAGGGTGATAATGAGCTTATTTTTTAATACAGAGACTGTCCTTTAACTTAGAGGCAAATAATTGTGTCAAGTATTTAGAAATTAGGTTAAAGTTTATGTCTAAGACCATAGAAATTCACTTTACCTCCTTTATGTTAATGTAAATTTGATGTTTCTTCCTTTCATGCCTCTGGTTCTCAGTTTGCAAATTCCTCTCTGCCCGTGACTTTGGAGAAAGATGGGTAAACTACTGTAAGATGTGTAGTTATTGTTCACAAACATCCCCGAATTTGATAGAAAATCGACTGGAGGGCAAGTTAGAAGAGTTTTGTTGTGAAGATTGCATGTCCAAATTTACAGTTCTGTTTTATCAGGTAAATATGATATACTTTTTTGGTGAAGTTAGTGCAAATTATTATTTTTTAAAAATTTGTTGAAATTGTGTGAAGAAAAATTTGGTGTTTAGTAGAGATCAGTATAGAGGTTTCTCAAAGAACTAAAAGTAGATCTACCATTTGATCCTGCAATCCCACTACTAGGTATCTACCCAGCAGAAAAGAAATCATTATATTGAAAAATACCCACACTTACATGTTTATCACAGCACAATTCATAATTGCAAAGATATGAAATCAACCTAAGTACCCATTATCTGATAAATGGGTTAAGAAAATGTGATACACACACACACACACACACACACACACACACACACACACACACACATCATAGAGTACTACTCAGCTATAAAAAGGAATGAAATCATGTTTGCAGCAACTTGGATGGAACTGGAGTCCATTATTCTAAGTGAAGTAACTCAGGAACAGAAAAATAAATGCTGCGTGTTATCACTTATAAGTGGGAACTAAACTGTGGCTACACAAGGGCACACAGAGTGGTATAATGGACATTAGAGACTTAACAGGGAGAGGGTGGGGAGGATTGAGGGATGAAACACTACCTGTGGGGTACAGTGTACACTCCTCAGGTGATGGGTACACCACAAGCCCAGACTTAACCACTATACAATATATAGATGTAACAGAATTCAACTTGTACCTCCTAAATATATTAAAATAAAAAAGAAAAGAAAAATGTGGTGTTTAGACTGGGTAGAGTAAATTATTGAGTACTAGAGCAAAATTTGATTGAATATAAACATCACATCTTTGGGGTAAAGATTATATAGCATTACTGGAGACTTTGTTGTTAATTGAAGATATGTTCCTTTTATTTTTGCTGTCTTATAAGGCACACTCACCTTGTTTATAACTTAGTTCTTTCAGATTAGAAATTCACATAATTTTCCTTAAGTGGCTCTTTCATTCAGATTATGCTTAGGAACTTGAAGTCAGACCTTGTTCTCTCTTCACAGGTCAAATGACAATGACTGACTACCTTACCCACCTTCTTTTTAAAAAGGTTACCTTGGCTGGGCACTGTGGCTCATACCTATAATCCTAGCACTCTGGGAGGCCGAGGCGGGTGGATTGCTCAAGGTCAGGAGTTTGAGACCAGCCTAAGCAACAGCGAGACCCCGTCTCTACTAAAAACAGAAAGAAGTTAATGTGCCAACTAAAAATATATAGAAAAAATTAGATGGGCATGGTGGCGCATGCTTGTAGTCCCAGCTACTCGGGAGGCTGAGGCAGAAGGATTGCTTGAGCCCAGGAGTTTGAGGTTGCTGTGAGCTGGGCTGATGCCATGGCACTCTAACTCGGGCAACAGAGTGAGACTCTGTCTCAAAAAAAAAAAAATAAAATAAATAAAAAGATTACCTTTTTGAAAAGTTAATAACAGTAGCTATAATTAAGTGAACGACTACTAATAACATGTTTGGTGCTCCATAAGTATTATTTCATTTAATCCTCACCATAGTCTCAAGAGGTAGATGTATTATTGCCAGTTTATAAGTAAAGAAAGAAGCTGGTAGGTGACAGCTGGACAATTCCTGTAACAAGCTAGTGAAGTCATTGTTTGCTTGTCTGCCTCACCCCCAAAATATAATTTTCTTCAAGGGGCGGGATACTATCTTTTCATCATTATTTGATCAGGACCAATCACAGTGCTTAAGACAAAGGATGTCTAATTAGGTATTTGTTGAGTGAAGGTCCTTATGATTCCAAAGTCCATATATTATTCTACTGTGATAAGCTGCTGCTTAATCTTTTAATAATAGAACTTATCTTTAGATTCCTTCATCAGTAATTTTGAAAGCAAAAGCAACACTTACATTCTCTTGACTTAGGACATCTAAATGAAACACATAGTTAAACATATATATTCTTAATCATAATATTTTAAGGTAAGAACCTTACATTTTATAGTCTTAACTGACTCATATATCCTGTTTTCATAGTGCATCTGGTTTTATGATTAATGTTATTTTTTCATTATTTTATGGTTTTAAGTCTATCTTGTCTTACATTTCTTTCTCAGATGGCCAAATGTGATGGTTGTAAACGACAGGGTAAGCTAAGTGAGTCCATAAAATGGCGAGGCAACATCAAACATTTCTGTAACCTATTTTGTGTCTTGGCGTTTTGTCATCAGCAAATTATGAATGACTCTCCTTCACAAAATAAAGGTAAAATTAAACTTGGCTAATGGGATCTTTAAGTCAGTGCTAGGGTATACTATAAGCACACACAATTGTAAATAATATAATAAAAACAAAATTTCACTGGATTCAAGTAGCTGAATTTACTTAAATTTTCCTTTAAAAATCCTTAAAGATTGCCCTTGAGGGAAAATTAATTCTAATGCTTTTTGTTCTCATAATGAAGCACAACAACAAAAAATCAATAAATGTATGAGCACTAATTTTTATAGGAAAATTAGATAAGCTTGCTTTTGATTGAATTTATTTGTACATAACTTACACTAAGGGATATATGCCATTCAATTAAACTGGAAATAAGAATAGAAAATCAGGACAAATAAAGAGAGAAAATATAAGTACATTAATATAGTGGCTATGACTGGCATAAGATTTGATTCCGAGCTTGCTTGTAGCTCAGGAAGAAAAAGAACAACATATTAATTATCTCCAGGGGAAAAAATGTAGACCGGTTCTTCATGGGGTAGCAAGTTTTTCCTGGCTAAGAATAAAATAATTTTTCAAGTAGGACAGCTAATGTGGTCAACATATCCAGCTGAGTAGATAGGTATGTGGCATGCTCACAAAGTAGCTCTCCTAAGTATCCCTTTCTGAGTATTAGGTTGAAACACTTGGTATGTTCTCTGATTAAAGCCTGGAGTGCAGCCTAATTGACAGAATCCACGTGCTTTGGCTCCTTGCAGTCTGGCCCTTGCCTACCTTTGCATTACCTTAATCATATATGCCCTGTGCTAATCTTTTCTATAAGCTGTCCATAGCCTAGGACCAGTCAGGTTGGTGGTAGAATATTCATTTTATAATGTGGGTTGGGAAAACCATTATTTATGTGGATGGATAGCCCCATTATCAAGTTATTTATAAAAATTGTCATGTTAAGTTTTTATATTTGAAGCAAGCTTAGGTGTAGGAGTTGTAATATTCACTGATAGAACAGCCCAGTTAGTCCTGAAGCTAATACTTGTATTTTTACCTGTTAAATATCCTTTGAAGTTTATAGAATTTTATAGAATCAGTCTCTCTTAAGCCCTAATAACTACTAATCTGACTAGAATCGCCCAACCCAACATTATAAGGAGTTAGATGTTTCAGTTGCTCCTGGAAAACCTAGTTGTTAAACAGGGTGTGTGGGTGTGTGGATGTGTGGCCCTTTTGTTTATACCAGGTCTTAACTTCCTGTTTATTTTAATCAGTTATTATTTCTAAGGCACAAATTGCTTTGAAGGAACTCCATTCTTCAAGGACAAATCCAACACCAGTTATAACCAAAGTGGTGTCATTGGCAAAAATACCTGCTGCCCAGCCCAGAGGGAACACTAACAATGGTTTAAAAGGTATGAGTTGATATAAGAGGATTTGCCTAGACTTTAGAAGTGAGTGTTGTCTAGCCTGAGTAGTCCTTACTGGTAATATCTCTCATTACATTATATAAGGAAATGTGCCCCACTTTCTTTAGGTGGTATGAGTGGGGAAAAAATTGGTATGTATAGTTTATTTTTTTAAGAACGCAAATGATTTTAATATACCTGGTCTTTTACCATCAGAGATTCTAATACAGTAGGATAGATTTGGGGCTCAGAAATCCTTACCTTTATCATGCACTCCAGGTGATACTGATGCAGAGTTTCCTTGGTCCATGTTTTGAGAAATTCTGGTCTAGTCTTCCACCTTAGTGAGAGTAAAGTAACTTCTTGGTTTCAGTGTTTACTTCTGTATATTCTGGAGATAATAATGCACATTTTAATTTATAACAGGTGCAGTTACTAAAGAGGCAGCAAAGATCATTGAAGCTGTAAGTTTTATTGTTAATGTTTTTCGTGATTATACCACTTCAGTTTATTTTCACTATGATGTTTCATGATGTTAATTTAGGAGAGTATACTCTGCAGAATATTAGAAGTAATGCTCAAAAAGCCAAAAGCAGCATTAAAGCTGTTTTTAAGTTTGTTCACAAAAATTATATCCAGGCAAGGATAATGAAACAAATGGAAAAAGTCCTGGCAACACAGCTGCAAGATCAATGCTGCCATAATGCCCCCCCTAAGGCCAGTCTATTGTCTGTGTTAAGGCATGAGTATTTTTGATGATATGAAAGGAGGTGACTAAGACAAAAGGTTTACTACAAGTCATGGCTGGCTTTCCAATTTTAAAGCCCGCCAAGGTTTTAAGAATATAAAAATGAGCAGGCAAGCTATAACTGCTAACTCTGAAGCTATCAAAACATTTCAGTTTCACCATAATTTAAAGAGGCTTTAGCTTGGAAGACAGCATAACACCTGCTATTAAGGAATCTGTGGAAGTGAAACAGAAGGTAGATTTACACGGAGTTGATGAAGGGGATATTGAAAATTTGTTGGGGTTGTCCCCCTTGGATTAACAAGGGAAGACTTGCTAGAATTAGATAAACAAAGGCGGCAGGAAGAGGGCCCCTGGCAATCAGCCTGGGCCTTCTGCATAATTAACAGTATAACAACTGGAATAGGCTTTTGACCATATTTCAGCAGCAGTTAGTATTTCTGAAGAAAATGATCCAAATGTGGATTGCTGTTCCATGGTGGGAAGGCAAAAAAGATGGAAAACGTGTCTACATATCAAGAAATCCTTAGTGAAAAAAAAAATGAGAGAAAAAAATCAAACTACATTAGGTTCATTGTTTAGCAAAAGTCTTCCAGGGAATCAGACCAACCTTCATATAATGTGGAGAGATAGCTTGCCCTAATTTAGTATCTCTTAACTGTCCCATTATTTGTGTTGGAAGATGATGATAATTTCTCCTTAATTATTGTCAGGCTGTATACCACATTAGTTGATGAAATGTCATTAAGTTAACTTCGTATTTATTTGTATATTATGTATTGTGCATTAAATTATATTTTAGAATTACATGATTATAAATTACTATGTGGTATAATTAATAATTATGTTATTAAGCACACAATTATATAATTAAGGTATTAATGTATTATGTTATATATTGATAAGTATTAACATGTATTTATAAAAACATCCTATATTAGTTGTAGATTTATATACTTTGGGAATGCATCCCTCTTCTACTTTATATGTATGAGAGAATTAGTCTTGAATTATGCTAGTTTTGAATTATTCAGGTTTTTCAGGAACGTATACCTCATATTTCATGTGACTGCCCTATATTATGTGTTCCCCATGTGGAATATTTCTATAATTCACCAGTCATTTAAACTGTGTTACAGAACAGCTCTGATTAATATTTTCATTTTAGTCTATAAAAAGTATTGTAATAAATAATATAGTACTTTTACAATATGAAAAAACCTGACAGTTTTAGAAGCTTTTCTTTGTTTCTCTGAGGACTTTAGTGTGAATCTCTCTCATATTTAAGTGGTCTTAAATTTGGGTGAAAGGCAAAAAAATACAGAAAAGAACAAAGAAGAAAATGTACAAAACACAGCAAACTTTTTCTGACTGTAAATATTTTAGACTTTGTAGGCCATATGGTTTCTGTTGCAACTAGAGACTCTGCCACCTCTGCTATTGCAGTGCAGAAGCAGCATTAAACAATACATAAAGGAGTGAGAGTGGCTGTGCTCCAGTAAAACTATTTACAAAAACAGGTGCTGGGCTGGACTTGACCCATAGACCATAGTTTTCCAATTCCTGTTCTACTGTGTTCCCACCACCCAGAATTAACCATTATTAGGGCCAGGCGCGGTGGCTCACGCCTGTAATCCTAGCACTCTGGGAGGCCGAGGCGGGTGTATCGCTTAAGGTCAGGAGTTCGAAACCAGCCTGAGTGAGACCCCATCTCTACCAAAAATAGAAAGAAATTAATCAACCAACTAAAAATATATATACAAAAAATTAGCCGGGTATGGTGGCGCATGCCTGTAGTCCAGGCTACTCGCAAGGCTGAGGCAGTCGGATCGCTTGAGCCCAGGAGTTTGAGGTTGCTGTGAGCTAGGCTGATGATGCCACAGCACTTACTCTAGCCTGGGCAACAAAGTGAGACTCTGTCTCAAAAAAAAAAAAAAAAAAAAGAATTAACCATTATTAGATTTGGCTTATTTGCTCACAGGTTTTTTCCCCCTATTTGCTGCCCCCTTTTAAAAAAAAAAAAATTAATTACTACCACCAGTCAATCCCCTATTCACATCCCTAGAAACAACTACTATTATGAGTTTGGTATGCATCCTTTAAGACTATTTTATAATCCTTAGTATATATGAATCCAAAGAGCATTTGCACTGTTAGTTTTTAAATTACCCTGCAGAGTGGCTGTTCCAATTTTTATTCCCACCGACAGTTTATGATTGTACCATTTCCCACAGCCTTACCATCATTTAATATTGTCATATATAAACACTTTTTTGCCAATCTGTTTGGTGGCATCTTATTGTTGTCTTGTTTTATATGTCACTGATTACTAGTAGGTTAGCTTACATTCTGTTTCTGGTCATTTAACTTTTCTTTGAATTTCTTGTTTTTAATTTTCCCCATTTTTGTGTTGAATTGTCTTTTTCTTATTATAGAAATAAGAAAGACCTCTTTCTTTATTATAGAAAGACCTCTTTCTAGGAGGTCTTTCTGTGTTCTTGGTTTTCCCCCTTCTCTGCTCATACATTTTTGACAACACAAAAATATGCAGTTACACTTTTTTTTTAATCTGCCCTTCTTGTCAGTAATAGTCATACATCTTATGTGAAAATAATCTTTCTTTAACACTGTGGCCTCCAGTGACTGTCCCATTTCTCTGCTCTTTTCATGGAAAAACTCCTCTGAAGGTAGCGTCTATTTGCTACCTCTACTTCTTTATCTGTTATCTTTCCTTAGCTTACTCTAGCCAGGCTTTTGTCTGCACCAGTACACTGAGACTGCTCTTGTCAGTGTTGCCATCAGTCTTTATTTTGCCAAATCCAGTGGTCAGTATTCACTTTACTCAACCTTTCAGTAATGTTTAACACAGTTGATCTCTCCTTCCATCTTGAAATACTTTCATTAAACTTCCAGGACATCATACTTGGCCCTTTTCTCAGTCTGTGTTACTTCCTAGAGGACTCAAATAGTCCCGTAGTTTTGAACACTCCCTACATGGTGGCTGATTCCCAGATTTATTTCTCTTGCCCTGACCTTTGAGCTTCTGATTCATGTATCCACATGCCTACTTGACATTTACACTTAGATGAATAGTATCCATCTCAAATAATATGTCTAAAACAGTACCTTTTATCCCCCCCCCCCCTAGAATTCCTCTCTAGTGTTCCCTACTTCTTACCACACTCATTGCTACCTCTTTAGTCTGAGCACCATTGTCTGTCTTCTGGAGTATTGTAATGACCTGCCTGTCTTCCTGCTTCCATTCTTGCTCTTTGCAGGTTTATCCACCCTGTTACAAGAATGTTTTTTTAAAAACACAAATCAGATCTTATTACTACTGTGCTCAAAAACCTTCAGTGAAATCTGAAAAAGAATGAAGATGGGGAGAAGCTAGTTTCCACATATTAAAATTATAGGAAAACTACAGAAATTCTAAAGCTATATCGGAAAAACAATTAGTACTGGTGCATGAATAGATAGACAACTCAATAGAAAAGAAATCTAGAAATAGATCCAAATATATATATGGGAATTTAATAATGATAAAGGTGGCATTTCAGATTAGTAGGAGAAATGTAGATTATTTAATAAATAATGATGTGACAACTGAGTAGACACATGGAAGAAAATATAATTGGATTTGTACTTCACAGTTTAAAACAAAATGAAATTCATTTGTATAAAAGGCTTAAATGTAAGAAATAATAAAAGTACTCAGAAAACTGTAGGAAAAATGTTTTAACAATGTGTAGAAGGGGGAGAGTCTTTCTAAGTACGTTACAAAACCCAGAGGCCATAAAAGAATCAATAGGGAAATCCAACCATATTTCAAAGTCAGAAGATAAATGACAAAAATGAAAAGGTTGCAATAATTTCAGAAAAGATTAGTTTTTTAATATATAAAGAGTTTCTATGAATCAATAAAAAGATCCAATACTCAGTAGGAAAATTGCTAAAAGTGTATCCATAAGTTAATAGACCTGGACATAAAAATATTTCCTAAACATATGCAAAGATACTCAACTTGAAAATTAGAGAAATGCTGTTAGAACTACAGTTTAACCACATTGGCAAAGAAGAATAATGGATAACACTGTTAAGTCATTCTTATTGGCAATTAGAGTGTAAATTGGTAAAACTGCTACAGAGGACAATTTAGTAGAACCTGTTAAAACTTAAAATGTAAATACCATTTACCCAAGAACTCTATTTTTAAGAATTTATTCTTCAGATACATTTTGCACATTTATGCAGTGAAATATGTACAAAGATATTAATTACAGCATCATTTGTAGCTGCAGAAGCTTGAAAACAACCTAGTTATTCCATCGATGGTCAGGGCCATGCTGGTTCACTCTGAGTTACTTTGTGAATTAAAAGAAAATAGCCCTGCATGGACAGAGTCTGAAATACACTTCTTTCTAATCCCATACCTATTTACCTGGCCTGGCAAGTGGAGTCCCCTGCATAAGCATACACAGTGGCCTTGTTGGGGCTGTAGTTAAATATGGTATATCCACACAATGGAATACTATGCAATTATTAAAAAGAATTTGGCAGCTCAATATGTACATACATAGAGCAGTCTTATATATCAGAACAAAAAAGAAGACACAAAACAATGTATAGCATTCTGGCATTTGTGCTTTAAACACACACACACATACACACACGCTTTCACATGTATAGAATATCCCTGGAAGGCAACCAATGGGTAATAGTGGTTGCTTCTGAGGAGAACTGAATGACTGGGGGAGAATCTTAAGAGGGAAAAATTTTTTTTCATTGTTTATTATTTGAATCTTTCAATTTTATGTCACAGTGCCCATTCAAAAATATGCATAGAATTTTTTTTGAAAGATAAAGGAAAATAGGGCAAAGGATATGAATAGAGAGTTCACAGAAAAAGAAATAAAAATAATGCTTTCACAGGAAAAATACCTGACTGCACTACAGTGAGATAATTTTTCACTTACTGAGAAATAGCAAAAAGGTCAGTAATATTCTGTTGACTGGGATGTCAGAAGAAGGTCACAGGCCAGGTGTGGTGGCTCACACCTGTAATCCTAGCACTCTGGGAGGCTGAGCCGGGAGGATTGCTTGAGCTTAGGAGTTCGAGATCAGCTTGAGCAAGAGCGAGACCCTGTCTCTAATAAAAATAGAAAGAAATTAGCCGGGCATGGTGTTGTGTGCCTGTAGTCCCAGCTACCTGGAGGCTGAGGCAGAAGGATCACTTGAGCCCAGGAGTTTGAGGTTGCTGTGAGCGAGGCTGATGCCACGGCACTCTAGCTGGGGCAAGAAAGTGAGACTCTGTCTCAAAAAGAAAAAGAAGAGGCTCACATATATACTGCTAATGGTCACATAATTTGATATAATTTATATGGAGAGCAAATTAGTAGTAGCAGCAGAATTAAAATTGTATACCTTTTGTGACCCACCAACAATACTTCTAAGACTTTATTCTATGGCTATACTAGCACATGTAGAATTAATTTATGTGTAAAGATAGTCATTGCAGCATTGTTTATAATAGCAAGAGATTTATAACATCCTAAATGTTTATCATCAGGGACTCTTCAGATTACTTACAATGTGTGGAATACTATGCAAGCTGTTATTAGGCAGCTGTTATTAGGTAGCTACATACAAAGTTATGTAACTATATCTACAAGATAGCTTGCTAAGTGACAGGAGCAAGGTGCTAAATTTGCTAATAATAGGCTACCATTTGTAGTCAGAAACAACTTATTCAGTAGCATAGACCATCTCTAGAAGAATGTACGGTAGTCCCCCATTTTCCATGGTTTCACTTTCCAAGGTTTTAGTTACCCATAGTCAACCATGGTCCAAAATTATTTAATGGAAAATTCCAGAAATAAGCAATTCTTAAGTTTTAAATTGTACACCATTCAGAGTAACATGATGAAATCTCAAACCATCCCACCTGGGATGTGAATCATCTTTGTCCAGCATATCTACGCTGTATATACTACCCACCCGTTAGTTTCTTGGTAGCCATCTCAGTTATCAGATCAACAGATCATAAGAAAGAAGGGTAAGTACAGTACAATAGGATATTTTGAGAGAGACCACATTCATAAACTTTTGTTGTAGTATTTTGTTACAATTGTTCTATTTTGTTATTGTTAATCACTAACTGTGGCTAATTTATAAATTAAACTTTGTAAGTATGTATGTATAGGAAAAACGTAGTACGTGTAGGTTTTCGTACTATCCATGGTGTCAGGCATCCACTGGGAGTCTTGGGATGTATCCCCCAAGGGTAAAGTGGGACTGGGAACAGTGGTTGTGTTCAAGGTTGAGCCTGGATAGATTGGAAGTTATTCATGTTTACACTTTTATACCTTTTGAATTTTGCAATGAGTGTATGTATTACTTTAAAAGTAAATTCAACGACTCCAGTGGCTGCCGATCACATTTAAAATACCGTCCTAATTTTGTTTTTTAACTAAGACCTTCCAGATGCTACACAATTTGGCGTCTGCCTACCTCTCCATTCTCCCCTGCTTACTCTGTTTCAGCCTTGTTCTTGTTGATGTTCCTAAAGCATGCCAGGCTTTCTCCCACTTCAGGGTGTTTGCACTTACAGTCTCTGCCTGGACTCTTCTGACCTTAGCTTTTTGCACAGCTTACTCTTTTGAACAGTGTGGAAGATCTCTGCTGAGATGTTTATTCCAGAATTATCCCTTCTCCATGCCATCATGCTGCCCTCCCTTACTTTAGTTTACTACCTGGAATTATTAATTATATGTTTGTTTTACTTGTTTATGTTCTGTGTCTCCCTCTAAAATGTAAGTCCAGTAAGAGTAGGACTTTGTCTTGTTTTCTGTCTTATCCCCAAGGGCTTAGAACAGTGTCTAGCTTGTAGTAAAGACTCAGTAAATATTTGAGTGAATAAACATGTTTTAAATATATTCACTCTGCTGTTTATGCTGTAACTTTTTTTTTTTTTAAGACTAGTCAAGTGCAGTAGTGAGGAGGGGAGAAAGTAATAGAACAAGGAGTTCAATCTGTAACTGAATGTGAACAATCAAGTGAGATAACTCACTACCTTTGGACCAGCCTATGACTTTGTTTTATAAAGACCTTTGTTTACACAAGTTTTAAGTTTTGAGGTAATCAAATGTATCAGTATTTTCTACTTTGTTTTTACTCTTTTGTGTTCTATTTAAGATTACTTTCTTTGTGCTCTGATCATTTAAAAGTTCTACAGTGATTTTTAAAGTTTTGGATTTTTTTGTTCATGTTGAGGTCCTTAATTGATATAGCATATATTTTTGCATATGTTCTAAGGTCAGGTCTAATTTTTATAAGGGGCCATATGTTGTAATCAGCAAGGATTGTTTTCATTGTTTTGATCTTATTGTAGGCAGAATATTTTTTCTAAATCAACAAATGGAACTGATACTGACTGGGAGAATTAGAAATTAATGTATATTTTCCAAAGTGATATATTTATTCAACCACTCTTTCAGAGGAATTTATTTCACTGGATATATATCACCTTTAAATTGATAGCAATTATAGTAAGTGGTATGGTACTAAAAGAAATCTCTTTTTGGTTTCTGAATTTGTTTTTAACTAGGAAAGACCACCAGCAAATGCCATGAAACTTCTATCTTTCCAGTCTTCCCAGCCTTTTAGGCTTTTAAAGAACAAAGCCGTATTGTGCAAACCTGTCACCCAGACCAAGGCCACCTCTTGCAAACCACATACACAACACAAGGAATGTCAGACAGGTATGTGTCCTGTGCTTTCTCATTCACAATTTATTTTCTGGTTGATTTGTTTTTGTTTTTTAAGAAAGGAAAAGAAAATAATTGACAATTTTTTGGATGTGAAAACATTATCTTGGATCACATACTTTGAATACCTAATTTATTCCTTTCATAATTATTAACACTAATTACTATTAAATTGAATCCATATGTATATAAAACATTATATGTAGACAAGCATCTCCTATATATGTGCACTGCTGTTTTTTAAATGTATAGATAATCTGTGTAATTACTAAGATACAGATTTAATTAAAAGCATTACTGATTTAACCTCAGTTCTTTTTTGTTTCTTTTTCTTTAAATTTTTTTAGAGACAGGCTCTTGCTGTCTGCACATATTGGAGTGCAGTAGTGCACTCCAGCATAGCTCACTGCAGCCTTGAACTTCTGGGCTTAAGTGATCCTCTTGCCACAGCTGGGACTACAGGTGTGCATCACCCCACCTGGCTAAGTTTTATATTTTTTAGAGAGATGAGGTCTTGCTATGTTGCCCAGGTCGGTCTTGAACTCCTGGCCTCAATTGATCTTCTGGTCTCAGCCTCCCAAAGTACTGGGGTTATAGGTGTGTTAACAGATCTTTGTCCACCTGTCTGATTATATCCTTAGGGTGAATACTAAGCAGTAGAATTACTGATAGAAAGGCTATCTTAGATTTTTTTGTTTTTTTGGAGACAGTGTCTTACACTGTTGCCCAGGCTAGAGTGCCATGGTGTCAGCTTAGCTCACAGAAACCTCAAACTCCTGGGCTTAACCAATCCTTCTGCCTCAGCCTCCCGAGTAGCTGGGACTACAGGCATGTACCACCATGCCTGGCTAACTTTTTCTATATATTTTTAGTTGTCCAGCTAATTTCTTTCTATTTTTAGTAGAGATGGGGTTTTGCTCTTGCTCAGGCTGGTCTCGAACTCCTGAGCTCAAACGATCCTCCTGCCTTTGCCTCCTAGAGTGCCAGGATTATAGGCATGAGGCACCACGCCCAGACTATCATAGATTTTTAAGGCTTTTGATACCGTTGCTAAATTGCCTCTCCTGAAAAGCTGCATCAATTTATGTTCCAGGCAGCAGTGCTTGAGGGGATCCATTTCTCCACAACCTCACAGACACTACTAAAATTAATAATTACCCTTTATATTTTTCTGCAACTTCAATGCTGAAAAATTTCAAAATTCAGAAAGGTCGAAAATATAGTAAAGTGAACACCAATATACCATTCATCTAGATTCATCAAATGTTTACTTTTTACATTTGTTTTCTTTTTTCTCCTGAACTCTTGAAAGTAATTCAGTCTTAATTTGATGTATTCTGTGAACTTTACCCCAAATTCCAGTAATCTATTGTATACTTGGGATTACCTGTACATGTACTACAGCCCACAGTTTTGTTATAGTCAGTGACTAAGCTTTGGGCAAAGAGAGATTCAGTTTTCAGTGGCATCATAGAAGTATTATGGTTTGTGTTTCAACTTTAATCAGTATTTTTTTTTTTGATAAATATAAATAGTAACAAAATATGAGTTTTAAATGTATGGAGAAAAACCTAAAGAACATTGCTTATTTATTCTTGAAAATAACAGTTATTCAAATATTTCATTCAGATTTACCTCTGCCTGTTGAGAAAAATGATGCAGAACTTGATTCTCCACCTGCAAAGAAAAGAAGAATAGGTTTTTTCCAGACTTATGATGTGGAATATTTAAAAGTTGGTTTTATTATCTGTCCTGGATCAAAAGAAAGTTCACCAAGGCCACAGTGTGTCATTTGTGGAGAGATCTTATCCAGTGAAAACATGAAGCCGGCAAATCTTTCCCATCATTTGAAGACAAAACATTCAGAATTAGAAAACAAACCAGTCGATTTTTTTGAACAAAAATCTCTTGAAATGGAATGTCAAAATAGTTCTTTAAAGAAGTGTTTACTGGTTGAAAAGTCACTTGTGAAAGCTTCTTATTTAATTGCTTTCCAAATTGCTGCCAGCAAGAAGCCATTTTCTGTTGCTGAAGAATTAATTAAACCATATTTAATAGAAATGTGTTCAGAAGTTTTGGATTCAAGTGCTGGAGACAAAATGAAAACCATTCCCCTTTCTAATAATACGATTGGACACAGGATTGATGAATTATCTGCAGACATTGAAGATCAGCTAATTCAAAAGGTCAGAGAGTCAAAGTGGTTTGCTCTTCAGATAGATGAGTCATCAGAAATGTCAAATATCACTCTTCTTTTGTGCTATATTCGGTTCATTGATTATGATTGTGGTGATATAAAAGAAGAATTATTATTTTGCATTGAAATGCCTTCTGAAATATCTGGTTTTGAAATATTTGAACTAATAAATAAATATATTGATAGTAAATCTCTGAATTGGAAACATTGTGTTGGTCTCTGTACCGATGGGGCTGTAAGCATGACTGGCAGGTATTTTGGTTTAAGGGCAAAAATTCGAGAAGTTGCCTTGAATACAGTGGCATTTACACATTGTTTTATTCACCGGGAACATTTAGCAGCTGAAAAGTTGACTCCGTGCTTACATAAAATTCTTTTGCAGTCAGCACAAATTTTAAGTTTTATAAAGAGCAATGCATTGAATTCACGTATGTTAACAATTTTGTGTGAAGAGATGAGGTCTGAGCATGTGAATTTACCACTTCATGCTGAAGTACGTTGGATATCAAGAGGGAGAATTTTAACAAGATTATTTGAATTACGACATGAAATTGAAATATTTTTAAATCAAATGCATTCAGATTTGGCCAAGTATTTTCATGATCAAGAATGGGTTGCAAAGCTGGCCTACTTATCAGATATATTTTCACTTATAAATGAATTAAATTTAAGTCTCCAAGGAACTTTGACTACTTTCTTCAATTTGCATAATAAAATCGATATATTTAAGAAAAAGTTAAAAATGTGGTTGAAGCGCACACAAGAGGATGATTATGACATGTTTCCTTCATTTGCTGAATTCTCAAACTCATCAGACTTAAATATGAGAAGCATCACAAATATTATTTTTGAACACCTGGAAGGACTTTCCCAAATGTTTGATGACTGTTTTCCACCAGAAGACGACTTGCGTTCAGGAAATTTCTGGATAATTAATCCTTTCATGAATCACCAAAATAATAATCTCACCAAGTTTGAAGAAGAAAAACTAACACGGTTATCTTCAGATTTAGGATTGCAATCAGTGTTTAGATCAATGTCTGTAACTCAGTTTTGGATAAATGCAAGGACAAGCTACCCAGAACTCCATGAAAAGGCGATGAGATTTTTATTGCCTTTTTCAACTGTTTATTTATGTGATGCTGCCTTTTCAGCTTTGATTGAATCAAAACAAAGAAATCTATTGGTTTCTGGCCCTGTCATAAGACTTGCAATCACATCTTTAGTTCCAAGGATAGAAAAATTAGTGAAGGAGAAAGAATAGCAACATGCATATTGCTTATCATCAAAGTCAATAATTTTGTGTTAAGTTTTGTATAAATTTCCTAAAATATAATTTCCTACTGTGGATTTGTGTTTTCAGTGATTAAATAATGTTTTAAGTTTTTCCTTTTTATTGAGGAATTTAATAATTATGCATTTATACATAATTATATATACTTTTAATAATCCAGGATAGAGAATTTAGTTATTATATCAATCCATAGATTTGGACTAGTGACAAAGATTGCAGGTAATGAAAGGCCCACCTAGTTTTTAATCTAATAGCACAACCTGGATGTTGAAACAGCGTGGCTTTAGAAGCACATGGGACATTTCAGTCTTCAGCCAACCAGCCACCTACCCCAGCAAGGTTGTGAATAAAAAGTGGTGGAAAAGCAAGATCTAAGCAGCTTGGCTAACAAGAAATGGAAGCAGCAGGGGAATTTGAGACTTGCTTGGGCCTCTGTGGCTCAGTAGACCAGGGCTTGGCAAACTTTTTCATAAAGGGCCAGATAGCAAATATTTTAGGCTTCGCCGGCCATATTGTCACAACTACGCAAGTCTGCAGTTGCAGTGCAGAAGCAGCCATAGACAATATGCAAATGGGTGTGGCCGTGTTTCAATAAAACTTTTATTTGTGAACACTGAAATAAGAATTTCATATAATTTTCATGTGTGATGCAAACTGCTTTAAAAATATTTTTGTTATCCAAAGTAAACATTATTAGCTTGGGGGCTGGGGGAGAGTGGGGACAAACCAGAACTGGCTAAATTTGGCCCATAGTTTGCCCATCCCAGCCCTAGACAGATTTCCAGGTAAGAGCAGATGGGCCAGGAGTGGCCCTTAGGTTTTGTTAGTGAAAACCCAAAACCTCTCTTCTCGTGGCTGCAAGTATCTGAATTTTCAAACACCTTTCATATTTCAATTTTAGCTGAGAGAAATTAGAGGGAAAAGATAATTTTAAGCAGAGATAGAAAGGAATAAGTTACTTAACAATTATGGTTATTGATTTATTGCTTCTAATTTTATCAATTTACTAGTTTATAAATTTCTAAGGTCTTACGTGTGCAAGCTTTGTGCTGGGCCTTTCACTAATTCGGGAGAACTGTTAAGGCCTTATCCCCATATACAGATGCAGACACTGAGGCCCACTGGGGTTGGGCGACAGCTCAGATCTCTCAGCTTGTGTGACACAGGCAAGAACCAAGCCCGGGGTCTTTTGACTGTAACCGAGCCACATCCAGGTACCCACGGGAGTTTGCCTCCACTCCGTATGGGCTGGGGAAATGCATTCCAAGGCGCCGGTTCAGTCAGTCGGCCAGTGGTCTCCGTCCCCACCTGTGCGAGGGGGATGCGCGCCCAACGCTCTCGCCGCGTGCAGCAGGCGCGGGCCGAGCTGGGCGGCGACCCCCTGGCGGGCGCGGGAGAGGACGCTCTGGCGCGGGAGTTCCGGCCGGCCCGGGGAGGAGGAAATGAACCGGAGGCAGGGGCGGGTTTTCGGCGGGGCCGAGCCTGGGACGTCCCGCAGGGCGAGCGCGGCCATGGCGCTCCTGCTCTCGGCTCTGCGCGTCCTGCTGGGCGGCTTCTTCGCGCTCACGGGGGCGGCCAAGCTCTCGGAGCAGCTCTCGGCTCCGGTGTCGGAGCAGATGGTGAGCGGCGCGGCGTGGGCGGCGGGCCCGCGGCGGCGTGTGCCCGGCCCGGCCCCAGCACGGCCCTGCCTGCCTTCGGGCTGCGAGGCTCAGCTGGAGCTGGGGGACGCGCCTGCACACCTCGACTGAGGCGTGGGGAGTTCCTCGAGTCCTCTGGAGCTTCCCTAGGCCGGAGGGGAGGGGACAGAACCGGCAAATTTAGAGCCGGAGGCGGAGCGCTAGGGGACCCGGTGGGAGGAGGGTGCAGAGGAAAAGTGACTGAGCCCCCTCCTCACCCTCTTCCCCTCATCCTTCTATTGCTTCAGTTCTTGGGAGGTTCTCCAGGCAGGGGTTTAGTCATCTTGGCTTTGCAGGGTAGGAAACCTGCCCTGAAGGTGAAGTGTATCTGCTCAAGGTTGCACTGCTAGTCCGGAAGCAGGACACAAACTACTCTAACTCAAGAGTCTTAACTCGCGTCGTTTTCATGAAGCCTGAGAGTTGCCTGTCAGCCTCCTGTCTAGTTCCACACTCAAGGGAAGGCATTCATGTCCTGCCCACCAGTCCCCCAGACCCTCAAAGAAGCCAGACTTGGGGACCTCTGCTCGCCTCCCTTTCCAGGGCCTGGATACTCACCTCTGCTCCAGGCTTAGGGTGGTGGGTTACTTGGCGAGGTCCATCCCCAGAGCCAGACAGGTTAGAGCTTCTGCTGCAGAGCTGAAGAGGGGGGGCAGGAAAAATAGCCCTGAGGTCAGGGGGATGTTGTCATTTGGCCCAGGGGAGAGCCTGACTGAGCCAGAAGAGTCACTTTGAGCCCCATTAACCCTGCCCTTGTGTCTGCTGCAGTGGGATCCAGGATCCAGCCGGGTAGATTCAAGGTGCAATCTGTTTAATGAGCTCTTCCTCCCTCTGCCCCACCTTGAAATACTCCGTGCATAGCAGCCTGAACAGAAACCAGGCTGCACACAAAGAAAGAAGCTGTGGAGTTCCCCAGGCCTTGGCACTAGGGAGCCAAGCCCAGTTCCCTCTCCTGGGATTTGGGGCTGGGTTGCCATCTGTTGAGAGGCCTGGTGAGAACATTAGTCAATCTCTGCTCTTCTCACCGGGAGCATAGAGCCTGTTTCCTGACTACACATCTCAGCCCCGCAGGGCAGCCCTCTTCTCTCCAGGCGGATCTTAGGCCTGCATCCAACGTAGAAGAGCAGTAGTTCCTCTGTCCAGGGAGTTGAGGGTTGAGGCTCAGAATACCCCTGTAGAGTGCCTGGGCAGCGCATCCTTGGGGAGCGTGGCTGATAGGCATTCCCTGCCGCCCCTAGAAAGCCCTGTTCGTGCAGTTTGCCGAGGTGTTCCCGTTGAAGGCGTTCGGCTACCAGCCAGATCCAGTGAGCTACCAAACAGCTGTGGGCTGGCTGGAACTGCTGGCTGGGTTGCTGCTGGTCACGGGCCCACCGATGCTGCAAGAGATCAGTAACTTTTTCTTGACCCTGCTCATGATGGGTAAGGGGGCCAGCTGGCCTGAGGAAATGGGGTCTTCTGGGGGAGGATGGTGGAGAGACCTGGCCGTTCCCCCTTACGGATGCCACACCTCTTTTTCCTCTGGGATCGGGAGCACTTCTTGCTCCACTGCAGTTTCCATAGTCTTCAGAGTAGGACAGGTGCTTTTTAAACTTAATATACTATGCCACTATTCCTTGTCACATATACCTTGTACCTCCTCAATTCTAATGGCTGCATAGTATTCCATTGTGAAGATGTTCTGTAACCTCAGGGCCCCTGCTCCTCCCTCCACATGCCACTCCTGGGAGGGGCGATGGAGCAGCAGCTGCCTCTTGATTTAAGTGTCTGGCAGGTTGGTGTGGAGAGCAGGGAAGCTGGGGCCCTCAAACAAGAAGGCAGAGAATTTCCCTCTAGAGGCCCCCTCCTTGCTCTGCCCACAGCAACTGCTGATGTACAAAGACAGCTGCTGCTTCAAAGGCCAGATATCTTCAGGCTCTTCTATGTCCCCTGGCCTGTGTCACCATGGCTGCTACCACTACCACCCCGCCCCCCAGGCTTTCTTTCCATCTCTGGAGCTTCCCTCATTTTCACATCTTTCCAACATCTTCCTCACCAATCTCTGGGCTTCCTTCCCTCCAGTAGGTGTAGGATTAAGAAAGGAGAAGAATCAGGAAGAATTTGTCCCCAATCCCAATCTGCCCACCTTAGCCCCTGCCCTATTTTGCTGGATTGTTTCTGTTTCTTTCTTGTCCTTTAAGAGGAGCTACATTCATTCAAGACCCTTCTAATTCCTGGTCCTGCTTGCTCTGGGAGGCCAGAGAGATGAGTGCAGCTAGTTTTAGGTGGCTGTGTGTGTGTGTGTGGCGGGGAGGTGGTTAATGGGAGAGCTTAGGTTGGATGGGTCAGCCCAGGCTGGGGAACCCTGAGCTCCTGGATCTCCCCGGTTCTCCCAGGGAGCCTCAGGGCCCTCACTTTCCATTCCAGGGGCTATCTTCACCTTGGTGTCTCTGAAAGAGTCACTAAGCACCTGCATCCCAGCCATCGTCTGCCTGGGGTTCCTGCTGCTGCTGGATATCTGCCACCTCTTAGCCTAAACTAAGAGGGTGGTCAGACTCACTGTGAAGAAGACTCCAAGTGCCTTCAAGGAATCATGGGAATAGAGAGTCTTTGCTCTTCATGCCATGCAGCTGTCACAGCAGGAACAGGGTAGAACACACGGAGTCTACCACCTTGTTACCAACACGTCCGGGGCCATCCAGTACTGAAGGAGATGTCTGCTGGGCCCTGCCTTTTCTCTTTAAACTTTACTGCTCTTTTTTGAGGGGTACATGTTATACACATTAACATTCCTTATGTCTTATGAAAATTGGAAACAAGCAGAAAAGAAGTTTAAATCAACCAAAATTCTAATGCTTCAAAATAATCACTTTTAATGCCTTAATATAACTGCACCTCTCAACCTTTTTCTGTGCCTTTATACAGACACATTTTTTAATTAAAATGAGACCATATATCCTACTTTATTACCTATTTTTTTAAACCTAATATACTGTAACACCATTCCATGTTTAGTTTGCCTCATTGATGTTACTGACTGCATAGTATTCAATTGTAAGGATGTATTATAGTATATTTGCTCAACCCTTCATGAGGAACATTTGGGTTCTTAATTTTTTGCTGTTGTAAACCTCGTAGTAAATCAGCTTTGCATAGTTAACTTTCTCTAGAAGTCCAAAAGGCAGTCCTAAGGTTTTAAATGCCTATTTAAAATTTATAGTTTTGTGGGGTTTTTTTTTGTTGTTGTTACACAAAACAGCTGCGGTTCATAAAATTTATAGGTTGAGTATGGCAGAGTTTAAAAGTACCTGCTTCTGCCTGTTGCCTTCTGAGCCACATGAGAGATTTCTTCCCATTCGTTTTTACCTCTCACACTTCTGATTTGCAGAGCTAACAAACAGGGACATTGAGTCATTTTATAGGACCTGAAGACACCAGCCTCTGGTGGTGAGTTGTCACCCTCAGTCCAGTGCTCCTTGACACCTACATGGAAGTGGGGGACAGCCAACTCCATGGGACACTGAATGGTACAGCAGGGCCCACAGCCTGGGAGGAACCCTAAAGGTCCTTGGGGCTCGGAAAGGTGCACATGAGTGCCAGTTCTTGAGGGAAAGTGGACAACATGTTAGGGCACCTGCTATCATGTCACCAATCATCTTCACCTTAGCCCAGTGGGGGCCTTTTGGGAAGTGATGTCTCTCCTATGAAGGAAAATAGTGGACAAGAATTCTTTTATTTATGCAAATATTATGCAAATATTCTAGCCACCAGCCTACAAATTATTTTGCGGGTAGGGACAGTGACTTTGGGGAGCCCACAGGAGTGAACAAGGTCGATGTATATTACCCCATTTCATGCTCACCACAGAATGCTAATTGCTGCTCTTTCACTGACTAGCATGAAACCCTGGCAAGTTGATGCCCTTAGTTGGATTTTTTCTTTCTTGTGTCAAAGCACAGTGATGTGATCAACCTACAGCAGGAATAGATATGAAGAAACATTTTCTCTTACATAAGATGTCCAGAGATAACATAGCTTTGGTTTCAATGTTGGCTGTTTAAGATGAATATCAGGCATCAACATTCTTTTAGCTTTCTGCTCTGCTGCTCTCAGTTTATCGGCTACTGCCCTCAGAGCTGCAAAATAGCTGCAGCAGCTCCAGACAGCACATTTGCACCTAACATCCAAAGGTGAAGAGAGGAAAGTTGGTTGAATTTCCCGTTACATCTCACTGACCAGAATTATGTCATATTTCCATTACTAGATCAATCACTGGCAAGGATTCCTATGATGGACTTAGGGTAGTTAAGATTTACCTACACGGGTCAGCAAGGAAGAAGGAGAGGGTAGATAATGGTTTCTGTCACTAGCTAGCTTATTTGCAAGATATGGATAATAATGGTAACGATTTCATGGCCTGAGACATAGTAAGTGATCAGTAAAAGCTAGCTATTATTAAATGTCAATTTGTTCTACAGATGATAAAATGGATTTGGACAGCCTAAGTGCCTGTGTGTCAGACCTGAAACTAGAACTAAGGCCCAATTCATTCCAGAACCCACACTTTTTGCAGCACCAGTTTTCAAAGCTGAAAATGACAAGCAGGGCACCCCTACTCTCTTCAACTTTAGGGTAAATGGGATGACCTGTCCAATGTAATTAAATCTGCCTTGCTTTCCAAACTTGCCCCCTGCATGAAAATTTTGAAGCCCATGTAAATAGAACTGGGAGCCCCTAGGATCCTGGCCTCATACTCTCCACCCCTTCCAGGATGCCACAGCCAGCCTGTCTCCGGCCAGAACTTTGAGTAAAACCTCACAGCTGGCACTAGATTGAGGGCTCATGTTCACCAGTGCCTGGCCCGTAGGCTGATAAGCAGCTACTGGGCCCCCCAAACTTGGCTGCAGGGCTGGCCCAGCAGCTGCAAGAAAGGCAGGGTGCTGGAGGAGTGGGCTGGGCAGCTGGTGTGCAGAAGCAGTTGGGATTGACAGCAGCAGGAGTATCTTGAGCCCCAGCAGTGCCTCAGCAGCTCGAGGAGAAGCCAGACCTCAGAAAATGTGCCCCCCAAACCGCAGCCTAAATCTAGGTCAACTCAGCACAATGACATTCAGCTGCTTGGCCTTCCTAATACCTTTATTTCTTGCTGCCTGTGCCGAAGGCTTTCTTGCCCTGCAGTGATACTCCCTTCCCCTGGGGCCCTGGCTGCATCCCCACAAACCCAGTTCACAGCTGCCACAGGTGGGCCCCACCCCTTCCAGCTGTTGGGCCCATTCTTCATGACTTGTCCTGGGATTAGCTGGCTGATGGGAGGGCCTGGGATGTGTGTGAAGGGTCTGGGAGGGGATTCTGCCCTGTCTCAGTTCCTTAAAGCCACGACCTCAGAGAGAACTCCAGCAGCCAGAACAGCAAGGGGTGAGAGGAACGATCTGGTGGGATGGCAGGGGGAGGTTCCGGGTGGGGGATGTTGGAGGATAGAGCCATGGTGGGCAGAACTGAGGGTGGGGGGAAAAGGAAGTATAATCACTCAGGGGCCCAGAAAGGACTTGAACCTGAGAGGCTCAAAGGCAGAAATCTGGATTTGGGTATTGGAGGCACTGAGTTTTGGGACACCCTGGGGGTGTGTCTATGTATCAAAAGTAGTAACAGGACATTGGCTTGGGCACTTACCTCCCTCGGGGAGAGGGCTGAAACATGCCCAGATATTTCTGTGTTGTTTTGTTTGCCTGGGGTGACTGTGACTCTGACACTGTCTGTGTGCCTGTGTGGGTGTACACGTTTATCTGTGTGCCGCCTAGAAGGGAAGGGAGCTGACAGTAATGAAGTATCTCCCCAGTGTCAGCCACAGGGCTCAGAGTTTTACTTATGTTTTCTCATAATCTTCCCAACAACCCTGTGAGGTAGGTACTTTAATCTCCATTTTACTGCAGCAAAGACAGGCTCAGGGAAGCTGAGTAATTTGCCCAAGGTCACATGGCAAATAAATGTGTGTATGTGGAATCTGCCTGATTGCTGGGCCTGGGCTTTGTTTGCTTTTCTGTCCAGGGTTTTGAGACAGACCCAAGGCTTCTTTTTGGTCAAAAGGTGAGGGGGGAGGAAGCAGGCTGGAAGGGTTGAGGGTTGTGAAACCTTTTCAGCTCTGCCAAGGGTGCTCCAGGCAAGCCTTGGGGCACCTCTGGGGAGAGCAAGTCCAGGGTCCCTGGGCACAGGCCTGTGCTCTGAGTCCCTGCATCACAAGAGCATTCCTCCATCCTTGCTGGGTGGCACGCAGGGGGTGGAGGGTGGCGCTTTTTCTAGGAAAGAATTTTATATCCCAGCCTGTTTCTCCAGAACTGCCTGTTGGCTCAGCCCTGGGTGGCCTTACTGCATACGGCTGTGCCCCCCAACGTCTGAACCATACTCCATCTATGAGGGGCACCTCTACCCTCCCAGTCACCAAGGCTAGGAATTTCCAAGTTATCTAGGACTCCTGCCTCTTCATTTCCCACAGCTTGTCACCAAGAACTGCGGAGTCCATCCCCTCCCCCCCATCCCCAGCAGCTGCTAGCCAAGTTGGGTCCTCACCCTCTCTCACATGGATTCTTTGCCTCCGTGCCCCCTCCCAACAAGGTCTAAATGAGCGGGGACTGGAGTGGGAAAAGGTGGAATGGGGTGGGCTGTTTTTGTAGCTAGCCTTCCCAGTGACCTGGCTTCCTCTGCCCAGTTCGAGGTCAGAGATGAACAGCAGTGTTGGGGACCTGGATGTTGAAGGCTGCAGCCCCTGGGATGACCCTGCTCGCTTCATCGTGGTGCCCGCGGCCTATGCCTTGGCGCTGGGCCTGGGGCTGCCCGCCAACGTGGCTGCCCTGGCGGTGTTCGTCCGCAGCGGCGGGCGCCTGGGACAGGCCCTGCGCCTCTACCTGCTTAACCTGGCCCTGGCTGACGTGCTCTTCACGCTCACGCTGCCGCTGTGGCTAACCTACTACCTCCGCCTGGCGCACTGGCCCTTCCCGGAGGCCACCTGCCGCGCGGCCGGGGCGGCCTACTACGTGTCCACCTACGCGGCGGTGGCCTTCGCGGTGCTCATCAGCGTGTGCCGCTGCGGCTCGGTGCGCGGGCCCCGGCCCAGGGCGGCCGCCCACCTGGCCCTGCGCCGCCGGGGTCCCGCCCGCGCCGCCTGCGCCGCCGCCTGGCTGGCCGGCCTGGCCTGCGCTGCGCCCTCGCTGGCCGCGCCACACGCGCTGCGCCCCGGCCCCGGCGGCGCCGCACGCTGCCTGGAGCACCGCTGGGCGCGCTCGGGCCTGGCCTACGCCACCGTGGCCTTCTTCGCGGCCGCCTTCCTGCTGGTGCTCGCGGCCTACGTGAGCCTGGCGCGGGCGCTGGAGGCGCCCTCGCGCCCAGGCCCTGTCCCCGCCGGCCCGCACCGGCGCGCGGCCAGGACCATGGTCCTGGGGCTCCTGCTGGTCTTCGCCCTCTGCCTGGCGCCCTACCACCTGCTGCTGGCGCCCTGGGTGGCCGGTCAGGAGGGCGCCGCGGGCAGCGACGGCGACGGCTGCCGCGCCACCTCCACGCTCGACGTCCTGCACACGCTCAGCCTGGCGCTGCTGAGCCTCAACAGCTGCCTGGACCCGCTCATCTACTGCTTCTCCGTGCGCCGCTTCCGCCGGGACTGCTGGACGCTCAGCTGCCGCCCGGGGCGCGGGGGAACCGGGGCACGGAGGCCTCCTAGGCCGCCTCCTGGACAGTCTCCCGCCTCCTCGCCTGCTTCACCCCCCTGCTGCCCTCCCCGCGGCATCCGGGGTGGAGAAAGCTCTTTGGAAAGACCTAGATGCTGATCCTGACACAACCACATAATACCCCTGTAGCCGCGGACCGCCAGGCTCATGTGTAACAAGGGTATAGAACATTCTTTGTAACCCTAATGTTCCCTGGACATCGCCAGCTTTTGGATACAAATAATATGCCGTTGTTTATTTGTTAATCCTCTTGGGATAAGCCCAAAGGCCTTACCATGGCCTACAAGGCCCTGCCTGACCTGGCTCCCGCTTCCCTCCCCACCTCATCCTCCACCATTCCTGCGTCTCTCTCTGGGCACAGTCAGGCCCCGGAAGCTGCCAGTTTCTTACCCTCAAGGCCTTTGCACCTGACTTGGCTAGGAGTGATTTCCCTCCCTCTCCTTCGCTAACTTAATTCCTCTTCGTCCTCACCTCCTCAAAAGTAACTCCTTATGGGGAAGCCTTTTTTGGCACACACACACACACACACACACACACACACACACACACCTTGATCAGATCTGATTGTTCTTTCAGAGCTCTTTTAACATTTGTAATCAAGCAATTAATTGGCTAATGCATTGTTTTCTTTCTCTCTTGCCAGAACAAATTTACATTGATCTATTAGAAATTGCCATTTTTATTGGTCCCCAAAGGTTGAATATTGGGAATTTTATTTTCATCCAGTTCAACTTAATAAATTCCATGTTAGCATGCTCATTGGTGTATCTCCTATGGTTGGTGCTGTGCCTTGTACATAATAAGAGCTCAGTGTATCATGTGAGTGGATGAAACCTGAATATCATTAATTTAAAATGCTTAAGTACTCACTCAGAGGTTCTGATTTCTGGTAGCTTTTCTCCAGGTGTTTCTGGGATTCTCCAAGCTTGTCTTAAACCCATGTCTTTGTAACCCAGTCTTGATGGTTGTCTCCTTCTGGTGTTGCTGGATACTTCCAATTCTGCCGTCCTCTTCCACTATGCCACCACTTGGTGGAAACTAAGCTGGAGATCCATCCTGCTATGAGCTGGGGCAGGGATTGGCCGGGATTTGCTGCCTTTAGGCTCTTTCACAGGGTGTAAATCCCTGCCAGTGGGTCTGGCTACTCAGCAGTCTGCTTCTAATTGGGGGGAAAGGAACCACGTTCTCTCCTCAGCTAGTGACTGGGGCCACACAGCGAGACTGCTTGGGTCTCAAGGAGTTAGAGCTTGATGAGTAAGAGCAGCACTGTGCTCATGTTGCCAAGTCGGGAAGGGTCAGAGAGGGTCATGTCTTACCTACCTTCAGGTTCCTATTGCTGACTTTGCCTTTCATTGATAAATTTGGTAAATTCCTTCTTTTCTTGATAAATTATCTTTTATGGGTCCCTTATTCCGTTTTTAACTTTTTTCTTTCACATTTCAAAAATAATACATGTTCATTTAAGTAAACACAAAACAGAAAAATGTCAGATAGAAAGTAAAGGCCCCCCAGTGGTAGCCACCATTCACAGTTTCTTGTGAGTCTGTCTTTCCAGATGTTTCCTTTTCCAGTCCAAATACATGTATAGTCAATTTCTTCCAAAAAAACCTACAAACAGGGTAGTATTACAAGGCTTTTCTGCAATTTGCTGTTCTCATATACTTTATCATGTATGTCTTTCCATAT